ACCTTTTATCTAGTCCACAGGGATAGATTGTTCTAGTTCCACATGCCATGCCTTTTCTGGATATCTCAGTTTCAATTAATTCCTTTTAGTAACTCAATTCTCCAAGTTTTTGTTCATCTCTGCTATGGCCAGGTATTGAACTCACAACTCTTTGGATAAAGTCACTTTTTGGATTACTTCAGCCAATGCATTTATCCATTGGTCCTTGGGGACAATCTAACCCCATGGACTATCATCATGGAATATCGCCTGAAGAAGACCTGAGCATACAATGGCCGGAATATCATGAATATGACAATAAAGATGAGGACAACAGTCTGAATAATGTAAATAGTGTAAATTGCCTTGACTTCTGGAGAAAGATAGTGGAGTGGCATACTAATGTCTTCTCTCCAATTTGAAATTCAATCATCCTTTTCTAAAACTGGTTACCATTCAAGGCTAGAGATCCCAATCTACCCTACAGGCACACTTGTGTTTGTTTAACAGATCAAGCCTGTGGTTTATACTGCAACTATGTTGCAGGGACCAAAGTTACAGTTTATGGAAGAGAATACACAATCTGGTGTAATTAACTGTTTACTGAAAAAAGCCAGTATGCTCAAACCCTTGGACATGAAGACTTGTGACAACATGTTAGCACAACCATTGATTGCTTCCGAATAGTTTCACTTACCCAATTACATCCATTAATCTTGAATCAATTTGTGGTATGGTTATCAGGCACTTTCCAATGGTGCCACATGCTGGAATCACCTTTCCAGGTAAATATTACCAAGGAGTCACCTTCTCCACCAATTAACCACTTGGTTATGCACTCACTACATGTTGTTGCATACCTACTGACGATAATAGGTATGTACCCATTCACATAAATACAGTAGTAAATACTGTATGTTGGTCTGCAGTCAAAGATTCATTGTGGAATTCACTTGACTCACTTCTAGCAGTTGACTACTTCTATGCACCGCTCGTGAATCTTATGTGTTGTTCTTATCCTAAGTATTATTGTCCATTACCAACATTTTTGTGTTTATTCTATTCAGTAAACTTCCCTAGGTCACAACACTACATAAATCATATGATAAATTGTATGGTTTTTGATTGATTTTTATATACTTTTTGGCCTACCCTGTTTTCAGTTTCATATAGTCTCATTTTCTAAACAAATTTATTTGATGTTGTATGTATATTAGATTAAAGCATTAGTATATACTTGTTGTCAAGTTTTGATTTTTGAATTAGCTAAAACATGCAGATGTTACCACTGGAAGTGGCCAATAGTTTTGTGTTATTTAAATGAGAATAATTTTTGTAATAAAAAATATAATTTTTGAGAGATGTTTTAACAGAAGGAGAATCGTAGTTATATTCCTAGAGATATTTGTATATAATGTGGATTGAAAATTAAAAGGCTATGATAAAATCCTTCATTGTTTAACTGAAATTAATATTAAGACCCTAGCATTTTTGTCTTACTGAATGACCTGAGAAATTCTAATGAGTGAACTTCATTAAGTTTGACATCATTACAATAAACATTAGTGACTGTGGTTGATATTAAAACAGAATTGTTTCATGACAGGCAACTTGACAATCACCATAATTAAAGAGACAAAGGAGTGATTTCTCATACTGAGATGCATGAACAAAAATAATAGCTATATTGTTCGAAGCTGTGGGGAAAAGAAAGAAACAGAAGATAATTTTCATTGTGTAGTCAAAACAATAGAGCACACGTAAATTTGTAGATGGTACAAGCAGATATTTGAACTACACTTTTTCAATATATTTTTTTCTTGTTATTAAAGCATTTTATAAAGATGCAAGAATAAAAGCTCTCATCTGATGAACTTTAAGGTCTTTTATCCTTTTTTGTTTTTCTTTCTCGTATCCTGTGACATCCAACTTTGAAATTCACATCAAACACTCCAGGTATGAAATTCCAAGTTCATTAGAACAAAGAATCAGTTCACCTTTGACATTTACAAAAATCTATATGATTTTTTTACTTTTTTATTTTTATTTTTTTTTTTACTTATATTGCCTCATATTCTAAATACAGTTTGTTCAGAACTTCGAAATATATTAACAAGTTTTCTTTTTAAGAATACAGAAAATAAATATATTTTTTTTAAAAAAGTGTAGTAACTGAACATGATTACGTGAGTGGGGCATTAGAATTTTGCTACTGTTCATTGATTTCCTTTGAGTCCATGGGAAATAGAACCCATGTTAACATTGAATTCTAGTATGCTAAAATACTGTCTGAGATTGTCATTATTCCTTATGTTAGACAGAATTTTAATCATCAATGATAATGTTTTGCAAAAACATTTCATTTAATGTATGCACTGGATTCCTTCTTGAGCTTTATTCATTTGATTATCTTGTATTCTTTCTGTTCACAGGAATCATTGTTGTTCAGATTTTAGAAGTATTGATGAAACAGAATAAAATCTATAAACTACCAGACAAATTATACACCTGAAAAATAGCCAAAGTGCCTTTGTCATAAAGGCAACAAAGATAAGGAGAGTAGGCTAGCAGAATTATGGGATAACTTGATTATGATCTTAATCAGCAAAGCCTTTATCATAAAATGATGAAGGAATGCTGAAAAATCCTTGGGTTAAGTCATTTCCAAAAATTTGACCAAATATTAGAATTTTTTCTAGAATTTCTTCTGGGTTGAGCTCAGAAACTTTCAGCCCCCCTCCCCTCTGCAAGCTATAAAGAAAACGAGGAGGATTCTGAGCAATTCTCTTTCATTATTTTACAAGACTGATGTCAATTTCCAAAAAGAAAATCATACTCAAAATTTGAGCTGTCTCTTGCTGAAAAACATGCGTTCCGTCTTGTATATCTTTTATTGTTCTTGCTTCTTAATAATGTTTTCTTTTTCTCATATTTTTTTCATGTTCAGTAACCACTTACACATTTATTGCTTTGCCTGGGATGAAATGATTAAAAAAAAATAATATGCAAAGGAAATTACTATGTATAGAATTAAATGCTATGCTACAAAATTAAAAAAATAATTATAAATTATTATGTTTAGAGTAAAAAAAAATCGTAAGAAGCAAAGAAAAGAGTACTGAACAGAGTAATATCAGTCCTCCTATATGGCAGTGAATGTTGGCCAATCTCCTCACAGATGAAGAAATGACTTGATGGAATAGAAATGTGGTTCTATGAAGTATGCTGAGAATGCCATGGGTTGAACTTGTGAGTGACAAGAAAAGCTTTAAGGAAAATGAAGCAAAAAAGATGCTTAGAATCAGAAAGAGACATTCGAAATTTGTAGGACATGATGAGGAAAGAGGACTTGGAGAATATAATACTCAAAGTACATAGTGACGACAAGAGGGATAATGTGAAGCAGCAAGTGATGTACCTGATGAGTTTGTGTAAATAGATAGCATAAAGGGAGTGAAAGGGATGGTGAAAAGACAAACCTTATTAAGAGATATAAAGTATAGGATGTTGAAGAGACATGGCATGTAGAAGAAGAAACAGCAGCAGCAGCATGAATAAGTAACAAACCAAGGAAGAGCATGGTAATATATTCACAGATGCATTAATCAAGGATGCATTAATTTTGCTTCTTTGTCTACCAAAAGCACATATATCTATAGCTGATCTTTGTCTGTTATCTGAAGAATAAAGAAAATATATACTTTTCCTTTTTGATACTGGATTAACTGCAGTAAATTTTCTATCCTTATTTTTTTTCATTACCACTTCAAAGACAATTATTGGCCATTGGAAATCAACATTCATTACCTTGTGTCAGTAAAGAAAAAGGTTTTTATACAAAATGTACCCAAAACTAGCCTGATTCTAAACCACTGGATAGTATCTTTTTGTCTTCATAATAACACACACATGAATGTAGGACTATTTATGCTCTATAATTTAGGCTGAGGTTAAGGTTTGTTGTTACTTCGCTTTGTCCTATTGAGTGACTTCATGAAAGACAGCATGGGCTGACATCCTTCATCAATAGGCAAAATAGACGAAAACATGTCTGCTCATTATGAGATGAGGAAAATATACAAGAAACAGAAAAATCAAAACAGAGAAAGAGAATGGTGTGTATATATATATATATATATATATATATATATATATATATATATATATATATATATATATATATATACACACACTTATATGGATGTTTGATTAAAATTCACCCAATATACATCTATATAGTTATTGAAATATATTACTAATACACCTATATATATATATTATATATATGTATATACACTCATATATATATATATATATAATTCATATAAATATATATGTATATATATTTCTTGATATAATTATATATATAAATGTATATATATAATTCATATAAATATATATATGTATATATATTTCTTGATATAATTATATATATAAATGTATATATATAATTCATATATATAAATATATTTATACATATATATATATACGTGTATATATATACGTACTTAAATATATACATATATACATACACACTGACATGTGCGTATTTACATGCATATGCATGAATAAAGACAAATATCTCTGTATATACACACACACACACATATATATATATGTATGGATGAATAAAGGAAAATTTTTGTATTCATTTGTATATACTCATATATATATAACATATATACATTCACATTTACACACACAAAATTGGTTCTGTTGTAGTTTCTGATTCCCAAAGAGGTCAACTTGCTCTACTATTTTATTCATCACTGGAGGGAGAAGTAAACTCATGCCTTTCCCAAGGGTATTAGTTTTGAAGTGAATGCAAATTGCTCCAGTCAGGGCTTGAACTTGGTTTGCCAATTCCTTTATCTAGGTGGCTACCTGCATCTCCAAGTAACATTCATCTGTTATATAACAGTTTAACTCAAAAAATACTTCTTCTGTGTTTGGTGTCCCTTCAGGGTGTGGGCGATCATGGCTCTCCACAACATCCTGTCCTTTGAAGCAATTAATAAGCTGATGGCCATATAATGTAGAAGCACCAGTTCTCATCTGATCACAGAAGTTAAACAACATTGAGTATGGCCATTACATAGATGGTTCACTGCTGGGGAATACCAGGTGCTGTAAACTAAGCAACATTATCTTACACCACTTGCTATTTTTGTGTATATACTGCAACGTGTGTATTACTAATATAAGTTCTGGATTATTCTAATATCTTTCCCAATTAAATCAAGCTTACCTAGCAGTTCAAACAGTTTTTTGTGATGTAACTAATATGATGACAATAATAACACATTGTAATTTATTTATATATTTCTGAGATGATATATTATGTACACTATTTACTATCATCCTCATCTTTGTTGCCATATTTATTATGATGTTTCGGCCATTGTACGCCTTCTTCAGGTGGTTGGAATGTCGAACTGAACCCTTTTTTTCGCTCGCTGGGGTAGACTGTTCTAGTTCCACGTGCTATGTCTAATGGATGTCAGTTATCAGTTATCTCCTGTTAATTCCCCTCTCCAAGTTCTCCACTGCCTTAACCAGGTATTGAACTCAGAACTCTTAAAGACACATGGCACAGTGTATAAAGTCGTTAGTTAGATCCAGTGACAGGACCCAAACATTCACATATTCAATCGCTTTCTCATCATGGTTTCTCTTTTTCTTTTCTACAAATATCTTTTGTCGCAGTTGTTTTAATGAAATTTTTACCTTGGGGCCTTGACTTCATGAATTTAAGTGTACTACTACATTGGTAACTAGGTCTCACTATTTTACTGTTGAATCAGCTAGATGTAACTGTAATTTCTATTCTAATAGTTTTTCTCACACTCCTTGCCTGTAGAACTGGCTTCCAGTTTCTTCCTTCTCTGACACTCACAATCTTCAAAAATACAACCCCCTGTGTCCTAGTGGTATTATTTCCATGCTTGGAGTAAAATGATTAAAAAAAAAAATTGACATGTATGTCATTAGAATTGTTCAGAACTTTGATCTGTTTTCACTATCATAAATTAAGTTAAAATAATTCTTGAAGTGATTCACTTTATATAGAAAATATATTTTAATAAAAATAACAATTGAGTTATTTTTCACTTCTGAGTCTTTGAATAACTCTTTTCTTATACCCCCCCCTTTTGAAAACACCAAAACATCTATACTTTTTGAATGTTGCACAGCAGTGCTTCTGAAAGTATTTTAGTGTTATTCACTCTTGATTCTTTATTGAAAAAATAAATTTCCTAATGTTTTTGATCATTTTCATTTTGTTCTCCCCCTGCTATAATCGTATAAATTCATTTTGTATCATGAACAAGAAAAAATTAACTCATTTCTTAAGTGCTTATTTTATTCATACATTAAAACATCCACAAAATAAACAACCAATGAAGTTGGAATTAGATTATTAAAAACAATGTTTTCTTATTTTGTATGTTTACCACAGAAAAAATACTCCTTTAAATACAAAAAAATTCTAAATATCTGATTAAATTAATTATCGATCATGACCTAGCATTTTGGCTCAGCAATTTTCCCACCACTGTAATGTAGTTTCCTTTTCTATAAATATTTTCGTCATTATTGTTCAGACGTGTTTTCCTCTATGGTACCTAGACTTTATGAATTAAAGTGCAGTACTCGATTGGCAGCTAGGTCTCATCGTTTTACTGTTGAAATTGCTAGATGTAACTGTAAGTTCTATGCTAACAGTTTCTTCTCTCACACTTCTTGCTTGTGGAAATCTCTTCTGGTTCCTTGCTTTCCAATCAAATTTGATCTTTAAAAATTTAAATGCAATGTCATCTTCTGTCCTCTTAATTCCTGTTTCTTTATTGGCCTCTCTCCTTAATGATGTATTTTCTCATTCTCTCACTCTCAGTAACTGATTGTGTCTTACTGGCTTCATCACTTTGCTTGGGTTGAAATGATAAAAAGTAGAAAAAGAAAAAAAAAGTCATTTGCTTTCATCTTTCATTTACCTTCAGTTTTATTTACTTTGAAAATATCATTCACCTGTTTCAAAATCATACTTGAAGATAATTGCAATAATGAAGAGAATATTATGAATAGATATACAGCCACTCATCTAGGATTAGGCATACAGAAGGCCCAGACACCCTCTGCTCAGGTAAAGCACAATTTATAAAAACATATATAATATATAGCTAAAGAAATTTATAAATAAAAATCATTTTATTCTTCATAAAATTCATATTTGTCCTGTGGTAGATTTCTTTTAATATTTTTTTCATTTTCATTTTATTTTTTGCAATAATATCCATCCTGTACAAGGCCCAAGAGCCATTCGAGGTAGACAGTTACAGAGTAAGAGACACAGTTTATGGAGATATGTGTAGAAGATAATGTTTGAGCCTGGATTTGAATAGGTTAAGATTGTTATGATTGGGGAAGCATCTTCTTGAGAGTTGGTTCCACAAAGAAGTGGTTCATGGGAGGAAGCAGCTTGAGTGGAACTTACATCTCACCAACGGAATACGAAGGGATTGAGGGTGGTTTGCTACAATGTGCGTGGCATGCTGGGTCTTAGCTGTGAAGGTAAGAACTGGTGTAACTGAGGAATGTAATCGTCTGAACACTTTCCATGGAAATAATGTTAGTGCAATGAAGAACTTGTGATGTTTTGTCTGTGAGAAAATAATTTGTCACATACATTAACATCAGAAAGAGACAGTTGAAATTTCTAGGGTAGGAAATGAGGAAAATTTAATACTCACCGGACAGATTGAAAGCAAGAGGTATAGAGGAAAATTTAGCCTACCTAGCAAGCTTGTGTAAATGGATAGCAGAACAGGGTTTAGGAGAGGTAACAAAAAGACAAAATTTATTAAGAGCTGCAAAGGACAGGAAATTGTGGATAGCTATGACAGTAAAGAAGAAGAAGTGCTTTAAAAAGCAATGAATAAAATGTAAGAAAAAAATGCCTATACTTATAGAAAGCTTTCCGACTCCCTGCCAATACATTAATCACCAACCGTGCCCTTCATAAAATTTTTCCATTTGGTCCCACTCTGCTTAGAATCTTAAATCTGGCACAGAACATAAAATTGCAACAACTGAATGTGTTTTAATTTACTCAAGTTTAAATGAACTCCTAATACAACTGGATTAATGGATATTATACAGATTAATAATAAGGATTTAGCAACAGCATTTAGACTCCATTTTAATACAGTGTAAATGATCCTTAGACATTAACACAGTCCAATACTCTCACAAGTTTTTGATCATAGAGATGGCAAATACTATTTTCTGATACATTATTTCATGACTCTTACAACACTTGATAAAATACAGCTAGAGATTTAGGTGATCTAACTGAATAAGTCAGCTCTAGTCCCATTATGTCCCATACAGGGAAGTTACCAATCATCTTACAGAGTATGCTGATTAGCATGGGCATCATGTGAGCAGGGATTATGCTGATGGAACAGCATATAACTTTTCTGTGACAGGAATTGCAGCAGAATGGGTTGAACACTGTTCAATATTCCCTCTGCAAATGATAAAGGAAAGCTTGTAAATTATGGCAATCAAACATCATGGTGAGTCATAAATGAATACACTTTGGAAGATATCACTTCCCCAGGTCTATGTTGCACATGCAAATGAAAATCACTTGAATGAAGACATAACCTGCTCTCATCGCTGAATACCACAGAGAACTGTTCAGTACCCCAGGTGAATTCTTTCCTACACCACTGTGACCTTCATAATTGTGTTGTAGCCTATGGATGTCTGGTTAGAGGTATCTGTTCTGTAAATAATAATTCCCAATGGTCCATGTTGACACTCCTGAGGTAATCTTCTTGTAACAAAAATAAGAAGGCATGATAAATAAACAATCCAACATTAATAAAATTTTATTCAATTTTAGAATGAACATTCTTAATATATTTCCTAACAATAATATTTAAAAAAAAAAAAAAACTGACACAATGCCACTGACTCACGGATAGAATAGATATTTGAAAATATCTGAAATGAGACATTTCAATGCATGAGGCTGAGATACTGGAACACCACCAAATAAACACACATAGACACAACCCTGTCAACACAAATATAAAGCTGTTTGATAAGAGCTTATGAAAGCTGAAATGACTGAGAAAACATCGGGCAATTTATATTCAAATTCTACCCAGAAACCAGAAAAATATTCCAAACTATATATTAAATAAAAAATTCATAAAAAAAGAACATTTATTGGTCTTCAACTAAAGTTACATTATTTCAAATGGTAACGGTAATATTAGCTGTTTCCTAATAAGAAAACATTCAGCATTTATTGACCGAGCTGTCAGCACTAATTCTAGTTGAAATTTATAAAATAATTTATATCATAATGTAACTGTTATCATTGTTTCCAATATTGATGGAGGTTTCCTTCCTAACCTTTTGAGGGAAGTAATGTGGCATGGCAATGTCTTAATTATGCCTTTATTTTCTCTTCTAATTACATGCACTATACATTTTAGTTGTAGCTGCTGTTGAAAGTCCTCCAGTAATGTAGTTTCAGTTATTTGGTACAGTTCTTTGTATGTGATTATAAGCACCAGTCTGTGAGGTTCAAAGAAGGATGATTCTTCTATAAGACCTACAGGCTTCATTCACTCAAAACCATTTTTAATCATTGATCTGAGAAATTGGTTGACAGTTTCTATATTTCTAAACAAGTATGGCATTTGGCACCACACATGACATCCATATGAAAGTCTCAAACTGATAAGTCTATTTAAGAACATGACTCAAGTCTTAAGTTTTGTAGCAACTTGTAGTTGTAGTGCTAGGTGAAACTATCCTTCAAAATTGACACCAAAATACACCCTATATATATATATATTAGTAATTATACATAATATCCAACATTGATAGCATGACTCGGAGTTTCATGCAAATGTGCAATATTTAGGTACCCATATCTATATATCCAAGTAAAATGAGAACAAATGGAGTATAATTCCACTGTCCATAACATTTAATTTAAAAGAGGGCTCAATACAAAGTAGAGCTAAATATTATTCATTTTAGGATATTAAAACTAAAACATGTTAAAAATCGCTATACAATTACAGTTATATTTTGACACTACAAATGTG